AACCCAGGAGTCCTGGCTCCCAGCCCCCCACACGAGGAACCGGTTTGGCCAGTGCTGTCCACGCCTGCCTGCTGTGGAATGCCAGGTGCCGGGGGCAAGAACGGGGCTGGGCAGGGCTTGGGGCGGGGGCAGTCAGAGCGGGGCCCAGACGCCGGGAGAGAGCCAGAAGGAGACACCGGAGAGGGGCGGAGAGCCAGAACCCCAGACGGAGGGGGAGCGGCAGGACCCAGACGGAGGGGGACAGGGATCGCCCCAGCGGCAGCCCCAGCCCCATGGCCAGCGACCCACCGGCCGAGCTCCACTGCCCCATCTGCCTGGAGCTCTTCGCGGTGCCCGTCATGCTGGAGTGCGGGCACAACTACTGCCAGGGCTGCATCACCCACTACTGGGGGGAGCCCCCGGCCCAGCCCGGGGACGCCATCCCCTGCCGCTGCCCGGAGTGCCGGTGCCCCGCGCCCGGGGGCAAGTACGTGCCCAACCGCGCCCTGGGCCAGCTGGCAGACAGGGCCCGGGAGAGCACCCCTGCGCGGGAGGGGCCTTCGCCCGATGAGGAGCTGCTGGGAGAGCCGCTGTTCTGCATGGACCATGGCAGCCTCACGAGGGCGCTGGACACCGAGCACTGGGGGCATCATTGTCTCCCGCTGGCCGAAAGCGTGCAGCAATATAAGGTCAATCGGGGGCGCCGTGCTGCAGGGATCAGGGTGTGTGGAGGGGCTCAGTAGGGGGCACTCTCCCCTGGCAGTCAGTGTGGCGCTAGGGGCTGCTGTGCTGCATTATCGGGGTGGGGTGGGGTTTGATTTCCTTCCTGACCCCTACGAGGCAGCTCACCTGCTGCCCTGAAGCATGACCATGGATCAGTCGTCTCTGCCACTAACTAAGCCACGGAGTCTTACGTAGACCTGGTGGTTGATGCTACATTGCCAGTCAATCCCATGGGATGTTACCCAGGACCCCAGGTTGTAATGGCCTTCCTGTGGTTCCGGTGTTTTAATGACACCCCAAACTATCCAGAACCTCCCGCCCCAGAGCTGGCTGCATCTCAGTGCAGGGCGAGCCATCCCTGTGCAGCGTTGTGTGCAGCCGTTCTACAGTTGCGCTGCCCCAGAGCTGGTTGCATCTCAGCGCCAGGCGAGCTCTTTTTTCTGGACTTATGCCCGTGTTTCTGTCCATCCAGGAGATTTTAACCATGTCCCAGACCTCGCTGGAGGCCAGGATCCAAGCAGCGAAGTCTCTGCAGGAGCAGAGAGCTCAGAAAGTGCCTGAAATTGCAGTAAGTTCAAACCCACGACCCGCTCCTGGGTGCTGACCGCCCCCCCCAGCTCTGCCGGTGCCCCTCACTCCCGACCCGCAGCCCCTGCTAACCCAGCCCTGGGCTCCCCCCAGGCCCAGCGTCTCCGCCTGGAGCAGCATCTGTCCTCCCAGTTCATTGAATTGCACCAGTGGCTGCAGCAGAAGGAGGCGGCGCTGAGGCGGGAGCTGAGGCGGGAAGAGGAGCTTTTGCTGAGTGAGCTGGAGACCGGTCAGCGAAGTGCCCAGGAGTTCGTCCGCACCTCGGGGGAGCAAATCGCTGCCATCCAGGCACGGCTGGCGGAAGAGGACGCAGGCTCCTTCCTGAAGGTAAAGGTACCCGCAGCCCCCGCAGCTCTGCCGGTGCCCCTCACTCCCGACCCGCAGCCCCCTGCCCACTCTGTGTCTGCATCTCTCATGGCTACTTTTAAAACAAATACAAGGAAGTTCTTCACGCAGCGCACAGTCAACTTGTGGAACTCCTTGCCTGAGGAGGTTGTGAAGGCTAGGACCATAACAGCGTTTAAAAGAGAACTGGATCAATTCATGGAGGTTAAGTCCATTAATGGCTATTAGCCAGGATGGGTAAGGAATGGTGTCCCTAGCCTCTGTCTGTCAGAGGGTGGAGATGGGTGGCAGGAGAGAGATCACTTGATCATTGCCTGTTAGGTTCACTCCCTCTGGGGCACCTGGCATTGGCCACTGTCGGTAGACAGGATACTGGGCTAGATGGACCTTTGGTCTGACCCGGTACGGCCGTTCTTATGTTCTTATGTACTTTCTCTTTTCACAGGACATCAAAAGCTTCCTGGAAAAGTGAGTGTCCCCCGCACCCCTCCCCCCACCCTGTATCCTGGGATCATCGCCCTGCTGGGGGAGACACGTCTGGGCAGGGTCTGTCCACTCGGGGTCGGCCCGTCTGTGTCCTCGTAACCCCTTTGCTCCTTGCCCCCCCAGGCATTGCCCCGGGGAGGAAAAAGGGGCACCGCTACCTGCACCCCGAGATTTCAGCCTGGGCCAGTTCAAGGGGCCCATCCAGTACGTGGTGTGGAGGGAAATGAAATCGGCCCTGAGCCTCGGTAGGTGACACTCCATCGCAGCCCCCGCCTCACCTGGCTGCGTCAGGAGTGGGGGTGTTCGGTGCTGGAGGGAGAGGGGGCTGGGTAGAAGGGGCTTGTCTCTGGGATCAGGGGATGTGGGCAGGTTCTGGATAGAGGGGCGTGTCTCTGGGATCAGGGGCGGGGCTGTGGGTGGGGTCAGGACAGAGGGGTGTGTCTCTGGGATCAGAGGGCGGGGCTGTGGGTGGGGTCAGGGCAGAGGGGCGTGTCTCTGGGATCAGAGGGCGGGGCTGTGGGTGGGGTCACGACAGAGGGGCGTCTCTGGGATCAGGGAGCGGGGCTCTGGGTGGGGTCTGAATAGGGGTGTGTGTCTCTGGGATCAGGGGGCGGGGCTGTGGGCGGGGTCTGGATAGAGGGGGCGTGTCTCTGGGATCGGGGGCGGGGCTGTGGGTTGTTCACTCCCCCTGCTCTGGGATGGGGGGGTGTCTCCGGGGCAGGGGGCCCTTCCCCTGGTGCGGAGACCTCACCCCTTTCTCCCCCCCTTACAGCTCTGCCCCTCTTCACCCTGGACCCGGCCACCAACCACCCCAACCTGCTGCTGTCTCCCGACCTGCTCGCCGTCCGGCTGGTGGACGAGCCCCAGGAGGAGGCGCCCGAGGGGCCCGAACGCTTCAGCAAGAGCGTGTGCGTGCTGGGCTCGGCCGGCTTCACCTCGGGCCGCCACTACTGGGAGGTGGAGGTGGGGGACAAAACCAGCTGGGACATCGGCCTGGCTCGGGCCTCGGTCGACCGGCAGGAGGCCAAGGTGATGCTCAAGCCGGCCAACGGCTACTGGGCCGTCTGGCTCCGCCACGGGGCTGACTACAAGGCCCTGGACTCCCCCTCCCGGCACCTGGCGCTCCAGGCCAAGCCCCGGCGGGTCGGGGTGTATCTGGACTACGAGGGGGGGCAGGTGTCGTTCTACGACGCGGCCGCCATGACCCACCTCTACACCTTCTCCGACGCCTTCGCCGAGCCCCTCTACCCCATGCTCGGCCCCGGGGTCAACAGGGACGGGCTCAACGCAGAGCCCCTGCGGCTGGTGGAGCTATAGCTGGGGGGAGGGGGGGGACCTGGGACGGGGCACCGATGCCCCAGTGTGGTGCTGGGGGGTGCCGTGCTGCAGGGGGTGGGGTGGGGGCTCGGCAGGGGGCACTAGGCTGCAGGGAGTGGGCGGGGGCTCAGGAGGGGGTGCTGGGGTGCAGGGA